CTAAAATGGGACATTTTTAATGCCTCACTGCTCCTTAACGAGCATGGGCACCCCCCTTTTTTATTTTATAATTGAAGTTCTCATATGATAAATATTCAGATGACAAAGTTTGAACAAAAATCTATTGGCAGTTTTATTTCAGGGGAATTACCTTAATAAGACAAAATTTTGACTCAATATGGTCTAAGCTCTCGTAAGCGACCAACCCCCGTAAGCGCTTATGGGAGGTTCGACTATAGTAAAGAGGTAATGTTTTAGTTTCTCAATCTCAAAACTTGACGCGAAAATGACCGATGAAATAAAGAAAACACTGGGACAGAGTAGAGTTTCCACTGACCAGGTACGCGCATAGACCGCCGTCGCAGGCTACATGGTAAACAAAGAATCAAACCGTTGATCGTTCGAGAACATGGCGCAAGGACAGGGCAAAAAGAAGAAGTCTTCAGCGGCCAAGAAGCCTCAGAAAAAGGCTCTTGGGCCGAAAAAGGGAGGCGAGTATATCAATATTTGTTGCACGACAAAGATTAACGTTTTTATGACGAACTGAATTTGTTGTGACGGAAGTAACGCACGTTCCCGCCTTTGCGATCGAGTTATGTCAGTTCGTTGTAGCTACATTGCGCGCTTTTTAGTTGAATATTTGGCAGCTGAACACCTTCGTAAGTATAGTTTAGTCGAAAGAAACTTTTTTATTGAGATAAGCTTAAAATAATGCGATCTACATTAGCTAAATCAAGAGCTTACACATGTACTTGCGTTGAAGTTTCGGCCGGTTTGTTTACGCTTCAGCTGTTTTTGCAAAAATTGGGAAAACTAAAATCAAGAAAGCTTTTATCATTCTGATATACGGTATTTAACTTTGATACCTTAGCACGAGCCATTGCTCCGAAGAAAACGAAGAGTGTCAAGGCAGCAAAAGTGAAGAAGGTAATGTAGATAAAACCTGAATAAGTTTTCATCTGAGCTCGCGACAATCAGTTCTTTAAAAAAAAAAAATTAGGTTATACCCGCTTCAATGTTTCCCCGCAGGGTAAATACTTATGATTCAAACACAGGCGTCTATTAAGCCATATATCAAGCAAAATTTCACCGTTTTATGTGTTAGAAAACATATTAATGGACATACTTATGCGTTAATAAGTTCTTTACAATGGTTTGTAAAGCCAAGCTCAAAATTCACTGATCTTCTTGAGATTCATTTTAAACGAAATATCAAACAGTGTATTTAACGTACTTGTTAAAATATTAATTACAACCTGAACAAAAGCAAAACTATTAAAATTTGGGCAAGCCACAGAATAAGATTAGCTTTCAATAAGCATGTGATTGGTAGTAGTATTTATAATCTGTGCTGTCATTGGCTAGAACCCTTTATATGCTTAGCTAAAGCAAAGCCCAAAGATTCAATTTCAAGAGGCTTTAGAAAACCTCTTGAGTTCATGTAACATTGTGTTGGATTGCATTACAACTACAATACAGGCTGAAGTGTTGGGCAGTGAATGTGATACAGGCAAAATTCACTCCAATTCTCCCCTTCCCCCAAAACAATGTTGAACTGGGAGTGTTGAACAGACATTTGCCAAGAAAAAACAAGTGTCAGTGTTNGGGGGGAGTTAAGGTGGATTTAGGATAATAATAATGATGGCAAGAGTAAAATGCACCAATTAGAAAGGATTCCTGGAATTGTCCCAATGACATCTGTCCTCTACTGTAGCTCCTGTTTAAAGTAGTCAAGGATTTATGCTGCTTTCATAGAACTTGAACAATGGAACCCAAGTTGCTTAGCCTCTTTTGCAGACATTTGTTGGGCTTGTGATGCAAGCTAGATAGCCTGTATACAGCTGCAGTCACTCTCCTTAAGAAAATTCAGAGAAGGCTACTTGTTTGTTACTGTTAATAATCATATTCCTGCCTAAATTATCTGTGTACACAGTCATCAACAAAGCAAATGCTGTGTACTCATTAATGACTGTTAATCACCTTTGCTATGTTCACAGAATCAAAACACAGACCACTGGTGGAATAATTTTGTCGTCATTAAATGTTGTTTACCTTCACTGCTTCAATATTTTAAGTGTAGACCTCCCTCTCAAAATATATTTCAGTAAGAAATTTTCATTATAGTTTCTGCAGCCAACTCTTGCAATATTGGTCTGCACTGAGCCAATACAGTGCAAGGCACTTAGTCCAACAATTTGCAAATGTTATACTTTATCAAACTGCTACCAATGGTCAACCAATGAGGACATTTTCCACACATTCAGGAAAAAAAGCATGTGGCACTGAACAGGATTATCATAGGGTAAAACACAGATGACCTTCCTCCACCCCCTCTCTCTTGCCCTATGATGGTTAGGGGGCAAATAGGTACATGTTAATTTTCCCCCTGAGCATCCCATAATAGTTATTTGAAACAATTAGAATTCAAAATGGCACTGTATCACCGAAAAGGTCCATTGTAATTATGCCAAGTATTATGAAACATTAATTTTGAGGTCACATGTAAAAGTTAAGATATCATTAAATTGTTTCTGCACAGGCTCTACTATGCTACAAATTGATTTGTTGTATTCTGTTAAAATAAAGAAATAAGAGTTTGAATTGCATGTAGAGCTCCTCTTGAACTGAATTCTTGATTTTATTTTAGATAAATATTTATTTATTGTTTACTTTGAGATCTCCCATCCTTGTGTTTTTAGGTAATGGAAATAGCCATTAAGACAAAGATAGAACAGGAGCTCACTCAAGCAGCAACCAGCAAACAGTCGCTGCCATTCAAAATGGTGAAACCTGCTGTGTCGGGCAAGAAGCCAGGCAAAAAGCCAGCTAAGAAAGGGGCAGGAAAAAAGAAGAAATAACTCCATTAACAATAGCGTTGCAAGAAATTTTACTCAGATGTATATTATCATCCATACTTCTAGAATACCATCAAGTTCCGAAAGAACAACTCTAAGGCTATTTGGAGTTCATTAGTAGTTCCTTTTTTTTAACATTTCTTTAGTATTGATATTTTGTTATGTAAAATGTGAAACAGAACCCTACATGGGCTAACCCAACAAAACAAAATCTGACAAATAGATCTGACAAGAATTTCTTTTCGTCCTAAAAAAGTAAAATTAGATGTGCAGACACTTTTGTGGCAGGTTCTTCATTTAAGAGATTGCTATTTACAAGCAACCATTACTTTCACGTGTTCAATATTTTTGGATCTTAATGGTATTTCATAGATTATGAAATTATTATACCCTGCTGTTGTTTTCTTTGTGTTAAAGTTGTTAACATCCAATCAAAATGCAACTATATTGCAGTCATATAAATATAGTACTGAATATACTATGATGATTGAATTAATATATATACTATTAATAGCTGTTTTAGCAAGCCAGAAGTGATGTAACAGGGTTGCCATGGTCAGGGAAAAGTCAGGGAAAATTAGATTTTATTCAAGGTCAGGGAAATGTCAGGGAGTTTTTGTATCAGGTCAGGGAGTTTCTAAATCCCTGTTCAAAGTCAGTGAAAAGTCAGGGAATTTTATCTCAACGTTGCCGCAAATTATTTTATTAGATGTTTTTGCATAGACAAGGCAATTTTGTGGTAAAGATTATCTGAGCCATCCTTGTTTTTGTTGATTCATGGCCAGAATAGCCATCCTGCAGGGTCAGTGAAAATTGCTTCACAGTCAGTGAAAAGTCCGGGAAAAGTCAGAGATTTTTTTTGTTCCGGTGGGTGGCAACCCTGTGTAACCCAACTCACTGAGAGTAACGGGCGACCGATTTCCGAAACAACGATCGCCGAAGGAGCAAACTTCTACATGGGTCCGGGGTCAAGCTCCCCCAGGAAATGTTTTGGATTTTTTAAAACCTGTGGGAGTCAAAACTCCCTTGAATTCCCCGGCTGAACTTCTGAGTCATTCTGAAAAATCTGACCAATTTTCGTAAAACACTGGAAACTGGTATGGCCTAGGGGCTGGGCCTATCTATTTTTCAGATGCCAAGTTCAAGCCAGAATAATTTTTAAAAAGAAAAATCAGCAGAAAGTCCGTATGGTCGCAAATTCTTAAGGGGCGGTGTTGAAAGTTTATTCCGCGATAAGGGAGTTATTGGTGGGATTGCAAATCTGCCGGAATCTTCAATCTCGCCTTGTCCGTCTTGCTTCATAGCCCTGTAGGAGACTCAAAGCACATCCTAGTCATTTAGCTGTGCAATCCTTAGACGTTTCTTTTCCTTTTCCTTTGTTTTCAACCTTGCTCTTCTTAAACGCGTCTTTTGACAGCTTAAGCAACAATATTTCATGACCTGTGACGTAATCACCGTACAGGGGTTTCCCATTTTACCGGAGGTAAGCTTCAATTTTTTAGCCTAAGGGCGAAACGTGTTTTCCGTCGGTCCAGAAGTCTCAAAATAAGCTAACCTCCCGCCCCCTATTCTCCCGGGATCCCGCCCTCTGGCGCCCTCCCGCCCCGCATGATTTAATAGTGAAATTATGTTTCCTTTGAATGACGGGAGAGGAAAAGTTAATTGAGGACGAAGTTAACATTTTTTTCAAATTTACCATTATAATATAACGAATCTCCAATTTAATGAGCTCCCTTTTTAAACTCAGATCAGACCAGTACAAACTTCTTTACAACCGAGTTCAAAATTAAAAATGCTGGGCACTGGGGGCTCTGGGATCCAGTGAAAGAACGCAATTTGAAACCTGGCCGCGATCAACGACGGGCGAGTTAAATTTAATACCAAGGGCAACCTCATTACGTCCTTTCTTGATAACAAGCCAAGATAACAAGAAGGAGAGTTCAAACAGCTCAGACGTTTAAACTATTTAATGCACCGCAGAATGTAAGGCGTTTAGCCGAGGCTTTTTCTGTTGCCAGCCAGGAGTCACATCCATAAAATGATAAATGAAATCTTCAAACCTTCTGTGACAATTTGGCAATTAATGAGCGTATGTGGGGGCGTATGTTCACTCGTCTTATTAGTCCTGTTCGCCTCTCAATCTTCACGAAAATTTCAGCCTGTTTTTAGCAGCAGCTGGTCGTGTTATTCTCTCCTTTTATAGAAGTGGCCGCGATTTAATTGGTCTGGAGCGTTATGGGTTAGATTTTTCAGATTTCTCTATCGTGAAATCAATCTCAATTAAGAAATTTGTTCGAATATGTCAACAATTTTCCTCAGTTATATTTGGCGACAATATTTTTAAAGCCAAAGCCGGTTTAATTACTCTTCATTCGTGAAATTTCATAGCCATATTTCACCACGATCACAAACTAAAGCAAAATTAAAGCAAGCAAGTTCTCTCATCCTCGTCACCTCTGCAGACTCTGCACCTTGAACTGAACTGTAAACTGTTTTTTTTTCTTCAAAGAAATATTTCGAGATTCCGACATGTCCTGTTGTTTATGAATTATCGTCGACCGGAAGTGAACGATTCCCGCGCCCCTTTGTGATTGGTGCGTTATGATTGGTTGAGCGGGAAAGTGCGAAATTCTAAATATTTTAGTCACGTGAACTGCCTGGGAAAGAGACGTGCAAACTCAACAGAAGGCTTGAATTTGGACACGAATTTGTAGATTTTGTCGCGCAACGAAAAACCCTTGTTTTTATCCTAAATAGGATGGCAGATGAAGAAGCTTTGCTCAAGAAAAAGGTAGGGATGAGTCCTTGAAGGCAAATTCAAGCTATATCTAGTGTAAACAAAACAGGCAGCCGTTCTCCTTCGTGAGATATGCAGGCACGACCTGTGGTAAACAGCTTGCTGCGAAGACTGAGGTCGAACTGTGTTAGCCTTGTTTGCCGTTTAGAATGAGGCAATGTCTTTACACAGTACTTGTTTACTTATTGTTGAACTAAGGGCATCTCACGTTATACGTTGTTCTGTAGCAGCATCTCCACGCCTCAGCGATTGTCAAAGACGTTTATTTCACTTCCTACTGAGAGCACTCCACAGGAAAATATGTTTTTTTGAATGAACTCCCTGTTGAAATACGAAAGATCACTGGCTATTTGATCGAGAAGCACATACCCGCTTGAAGAAGTAAAAATTTCAGTACCAGCTTAGCTAGGTAGCTCTCCACTGTGCGGTGCAAAATTGGTGGTAAATTGTAGAACGGAAGCTTTAATTGACTTGGTTTCGCAGTTTGTTAGCTTAGTTTGTGCCATCGATAAAAAGATGGGTGTTTTAATGTATTTTCGAGTTGGTTTAACTGTCAATTTTGAACTGGATGTGTATATTGTTTTAATCTTGTCTGATCTGGGTTTAGCAAAAATTCTGCTACAGTAACGTCTATTGTAAGCTTGCATTTGGAAATTGGATTTGTCTTCCTGAAACATTTTAGTGGCGTCTTAATTTTGTTCGTGTTTCCCTATTATTTATAAAAATCTAGCTTAACTTAAGACTTCTTTTAGTAATCAAATAACTGAACCGAGTCATCACCCATTATTTTCCTGTATTAGACTAATTGCGAATCATAACAAAGCGTCAAGAACGTTGTATTGAAATAATGGTTGAAGTGTCGTTCACTAGCAGCGATCTGGTGTATAAGCAGGCAGCTATGTAACAGTAGTACTCTTGGACAATGGTTAAATAATTAAGCCCTTATTTATTGTCATTTTCTCTGACATAAGTAAACATTTCCTGTTAAAAGGATCGGTTTGTAAATATTATCATGGAGTGTTTAGCTGCAAAGTGATATAGTCTTTTTATGTTGTCAAGAAGACGTCCAGTTCTCTTCATTTCAAGATGATTTTTTGTTCCATTCATGTGATCTTGATTGCTTTTGATTATCTAACTTTGTTTCTTGCCTCTCTTGGCTGACAAAGTTGTTTTGTCACCAACAGATATTTTGCAATTCCATGCCCAGAAACAGTAAATCGCGACACTGGTTAATTTGCTTAATTGAGATAGTTGTTATGCTTCATTTAGCTTCAAATTAATTATTAATACCTTGGGATGTATTAGCTGAAACTGTTGTACCCTGTATGCAAGCTTGATCTCCTTTTGTACTCAGCTGGTAATGAAATTGTTCAGCTGTTTATGGGAGATTCCCTGAATAATTTCTTTGTTGCAGAGTAAGTGTAAACTAAAGAGCAGATGTCATAAACTGGATAACTACATGTAAATGAAGACAAGGTTGCAACTCAATAAATTAGTAACCCAAGTTAGTCCGGTCTGTTCCTTCTCCTTTGGTGATTACGTTACCATAAATGCCGAAAGCATACAGCTAACTGAGCAAGGAAGGAGGGTGAATTCATTCTCACTGGTCAGAATGATAAATGTTTTGCTATAAAAAACATTTGGAGATCCCTTGGTATCTTAACCCTTAATTGCTTTTAGCTCTATTTATTGTTTGCTAAGCAAATGAGGACATCGCATGTCTGCTGCTTCATAACAATAGTTGAAGTAACAATAGTTGATCAAGTACCTTTTGGCTCTTTCAGTGAACTTGTTGTTTCCAGTAGTGTGCATAATTAGGGGTATGAAGTCTAAAACATGCTCACAAAAATTATTGATTCATATGTAATTATTAAAATTATATATTAACTTACAATTTTTAACTTTCCTTGCTTAAAGTAACTTACATGTAGGAATAGGTGTCCACCACTGTCAGATACATGGGCAGGGCTGTGCCCTAGAAGTGCCCAGGTGCCAATTTAAAAAGTTACTTTTTTAATATAAGACCAAGACTTGATCTATCAATTGCTGGGTACCCAGGATTTCATGGTTGGGAACCCTTGGGTTCCTCGTAAATTTTCTTAGACCACAGCCATGAAAGGTCCAATAATATGCCTTGCTAGATCTGTTAAGTTAACATGAATGGCTGTAGCTTTGTTTTTACAAAGTGTGGTAGTTCTATTAAGTATCCATAACATTGCTTAGATAGTTACTTTCATTTCAAAAATATAAGCTTGCTAATGTAGATTTACATACATATACATAGATTTACATTCTTTTGTAGGACTCTTTTTGCAAAATCTCTATACCTAAGCTACGTTTCAAGTTCATCTAGAATTTTATATAGTGCATGCTTAGTAAGTGGGCTGGCTATACTCTACAATGGTGTGCTAATGAATACTGCTCTAAGCATCAGGGTGATTACATGTGAAATGTTTGGTGCAATTTAAAATTCATGAAAATAAAGCCCCAGCCAAATGATTGCAACATTTCAGTGCAACATATTGTAACATTGTTTGGCACAACATGTTGCACATGTTTGGCTACCCTGTTGCGAAGTGTTGTGATGTGTTGCATGTTGGGTGTTGTTGGCTCAAGTTTGAAAATGGTCAAATTTTCATGCACTATTTGTGGATGTTGCATGATGTTGTCAGTGTTTCAGCCAGACAATTTTACTTGAGGGCCAAAGTGGCCCATAAAGACCTTTTTTAGGGGCCAATTTTTTTAGGAAAGGGGCCAATAAATTGAAAGCTACAGAAGGAAAAAAATGCATCAGGGTGCCAAGGAAAATAAAGCAGTTTATTAGGATCTATGATAAAATTTAATAAGTGCTTTTTGAAGTGTTTCTACTCAAGAAAGTTTCTTTTGAATCAGATACCACTATGAAGGATCCGTGCATTACAAGAAAACAAGCCTTAGGCATACATGACTTAGTTAGTGATCAAGAGTTTGCAATGTATTGTAGGGCAATTTCATACACAACTCAATACTGCAGCAAAGCAGAAGGACGGGTTGACTTCTTTTCTTATGTTGAATGTTTTAGAAGCAAAGATTGTTCAATATGTTTTTCTAGAAGGAGATGATGTGTGACAAAATAGCCGTTATTGATTGTCAACACAGAGAAATGTATGTGTAGTCGCCATAATGCATCTAAACCAGAATTTTTGGTTGCCAAGGATGAAATGTTAGTTGCACTGGCAACTGTATCTGTCACAATTTCGAGCCCTGGGATGGCTTTTAAAATATTAAGACTGTGTTAAGCCTGACGTCTTGTCAAAGGAAAGGGCCAAATTCGCCCTTTTCTCATTTTTCTGGGGGCTATCTCTGATTGCAGCGTGGGATTCCCGCAATGGCGCACTCTGGCGGAAACACTGGTCGTGCTCGTTTGGCCAGGCTCGTGCAATGATTTGCAACACCCAAGATGTTGCAACAAGTCGTAACAGGGTGGCGAAACACACGCAACATGTTGCGGTTAACAATGTTGCGATATGTTGTGTACTAATACTAAGCCAACAATGTTGCTTTACATGTATGTTGCATTGAAATGTTGTGATAGTTTGGTCGAGGCCTAACACTGAATTTCTACCATGACTGTAGAAAGCACCAATACCTTTAAAAATGACAATCTTTATTTTGTAATTCTAGTTGGAGAATACCACTGATTTCGAAGAAAGACGGGAAATCAGACAACAACTGAGGGAAGTGCGAAAGAAGAAACTTGATGCTTTACAATCTGATACAACAGCAAATGAAAGACCAAGGAGAAGGGAAAGAGTGAAAAGAGAAGAACAGTCAACGGTCATTACAGAGATGAAAACTACAGGTGTAAGCGACAGTGACACCTCACAGCCAACACAGACTACTATCGAGGTTAATTATAGTCGTACTGTTGTTACTGAAGGACCTTCTGAAAATGGTATTGAGAATGGACATGTTGAAAGCGAAAAATTTGTTGAGGAAGAAACAGTTTGTGTTGAAGATGAAACTCCAGTAGAGAGGCAACCAGTTGAAGCAGAGAGTGGAACTCAATTTACTGTACAAATCAATGGAGAGAAAAGTCTGCAGGATAGCGAGGAGGAGCAAGGGATATCAGCACCTCAAGAAATCTCTACAGAAACTGAAATTGTGGTTGAAACTTCAGAAACAGCTACTGATAGTAAAGAAGAAGAAACAGGGAACAAGGAAGACGAAGAAGTGGAAGAAGAAGTGGAATTGACACCAGAAGTGATTGAGAAAATGGAAGATGTAGATCAACTTGAAAAGCTGGTGAGATAGTACATTGTTTTATCATAAAATATAATTATTTTAAGTCATTATGTCATTTTTTGACTCTGCTGCCTTCCTTCTTGTGTTTTGTCATATGACACATATTTAACAAATTGACATCAATTTGCTTTTTACCAGTGTTTCAGCCAGAAAATTTTACTCGAGGGGCCAAAGTGGCCCCTGAAGATCTTTTTTAGGGGCCAGTTTTTTAGGAAAGGGGCCAATAAACTGAAAGCTACAGAAGGAAAAAAATGCATCAGGGTACCAAGGAAAATATAACAGTTTATTAGGATCTATGAAAAAATTTAATAGTAAGTGCTTTTTGAAGGGTTTCTAATCTATAAAGTTTCTTTTGAATCAGATACTAGTATGAAGGATCCGTGCATTACAAGAGAACAATCCTTAGGCCTACATGACGTAGTCAATGATCAAGGGTTTGCAATGCATCTTAGGGTGATTTCAAACTTGGTCAGCCATTTGGAAGTTTTCCGATATGAGAGAATTAATACAGCAAAGCAAAAGGATGGATTGGCTTCTTTTCTTATGTTGAATGTTTTAGAAACAAAGATCTTTCAATATGACTTTCTAGAAGGACATAATGTCTGACAAAATAACTGTTATTGATCATCAACACAGAGAAATGTAGTCGCCCTTATGCCGTACTATGACGACTAAACCAGAATTTTTGGTTGCTAAGGATGAAATGCTTGTTGCTTTGGCAACCGTATTGATCACAATTTCCAGCCCTGGGATGGCTTTTAAAATATTATGCTTGTGTTAAGCCTGCAGTCTTGTAAAAGGAAAGGGCCAAATTGGCCCTTTTTTCGTTTTTCTGGGGGCCATCTCTGATTGTAATGCGGGATTCCTGCAATGGCGTGCTCTGGCGGAAACACTGTTTACGATAAATCGTCAAATTTTCTGCCCTTGCTTGTTGATGCATCGCATAAATGATAAATTCATGTGTCTGTCCGCTTATTGAGAATAAAAATTAAACAATGAGTGTGCGAGAATTTCTGCAGTTATCGTAAAAATGAGAATTTCCTCTCCTCCTTCATCATTCATGCAAGCATTAATCAGCAGGCCATATGGGAGAAGGTTGTTAAAACCAGATTGACGTGAAAGGAGGATGTCAAGTATTTAGTTTTTAGCTAATACTGCTCATTCATCCATACAGTGTAGCTGTTATTTAAAGCAGAAGTGTTTGATTTTATTCAAATTGGCATTATTCAAAATCACTGAAAAACCACAACAACCATAAGGTAGATTCGGCTGAAGAAGGTTACCTAAAGGAATCCCAAGCAACATTTTGCTTGTACATGTAAAGGAGGGTGTTTCCTGGAAAACTGTTTTATCTTGCTACCTCTCTCCATTTGTTTACATATGTAAATACATCAAGTATTCGTATTTTTCAAGATTTTTTTCAAGTCTCCAAAATTTGATTTCAGGAAAAAGATAGTGGCTTATTAACTAAGCAGTGCGAAATGTCACCCTCCCAAAAGTTATCTTAACTTGTCATGACAATTTTGTGTAATAAGGGCCACTGTCTCTCGTTTTGCTTCTGTTTGCTAAGTGTTATGTCTTTCACTTTATAACTGGGAAACAGGACAGAGAAATTCCCAGTTAATACACTGTACATACACATACTTGGTGTTGCTTTCATTTTGCACTGGAAAGGAAAAAAAATTCAGAAAAATTATGTAAATCCAAATATATACTAATGAGTGAAAGTTATATTTATATGCACTAAATACAATTTTTTTTTCTAAGTCAGAGTGCTGGCGTGTTTTATTGGAAGACATACAGTACATGTGTAGTAGTAATGGTTATAGACTGTGATATCCGTAGTCATTCTAAAACGATTAAGACAGGGTAAATCCAGTTTTAACGCCAGGGGAAGGGTACTCCCTTATATGGGCCATATAGGTATGTGCGGTCCCAAATGGTAGGCTTTTCCAGCCGTTTTGGTCATAAATAGAGTATCGATTTTGTCCATTTTGGTCTTCAGTAGGGTATGGCTTTAGTACTCTAGTCTTGAATTGGGTATGTTTCTTGGAAGAAGCTACTTTTTCATCTTTATCAATAGGACAGTCAACAAAAGCCCATCATAACTTATGTTTAAAGCAACTGTGCCAGCTGCAACGGTCATAAATAGAGTATCGAATTTTCGGCCAGGTCATGAATAGGGTAGCAAAAACCGCAGTTTTTGGTCATTAAAAGGGTAAGGGTTTTGGGAAGTGGGCCGCACACTCCCTCCCAACTTTTCTGGGAGTTCCCCCCCCCCCCTGGGGTTTTAACCCTTCATTGCAATCTTTTGGGTATCTATCCATGGCTTTCTGTGACAGTGTGAGAGGATCATTTTTCACCTATTCAACTTTATTTTTGTTACTGAACATTTAGCTCAAAGATGTTCCTCTAAATGAATATGCACTTAGAAAGGCAATAAGACTGCAGATAAGACAGCTCAAAGTCAAGCAAGGTAAGTCACTTGTACCAATCACGTTTCTAAAGAAAAGCTGGTATGGGTAAGACTAGATTTGGCTTTTTTTAGTGCCATTTCCCTTCACAAGGAACATACTATAAACACCAGTTGGTAAGCCGCACTCACAGATAAGCCGCTTCCCGAGTTTGGCAACTCAAATTTCGGAAAAGGATTTTTGGAAAGAAGTCACACAAATTCTCAAGTGGAGTCTTTTGAAAGATTCTTTACATGTACATTTCTTGATTACAGTGTGACAATTTCAACATGGTCCACCTAGTACTTTTCTGATAATGACTGAAGAATCTAAATTTGTTTATTCTTCAGTCAGTAATTTGTTTTGTGTACAAATTGTAGTATATTGCCATAAACTGGAACAAAGAAAAATACCAAAAACTGAAAACTGAACCACAATATCTGCTCACACTCTTTTGTTTTAACATGTACTCTGCTAAGTAACTGCAGGGCCTTCATTGAGACTGTTTCAAAATGCAATCAAGAAAAAAGTTATTTGTACTTCAGTTCTTTCTTACTGAAAGCACTGTGACTATACAACTATTGCGTAGCCCAAGCTGAAGTTGTCACACTCTATTGGTTTTGAGAGGATACTCAGCTGTAACTTTTGTAGCTATCGTAGTGCGTACGTGCATCTTTAGTAGTGACTTGTGATGTATTTAAACTACAGCAATTCAAAAAACTGCTCGACCAGCACCCAAATTCAAGTCAGAGGCTCCTGCGCCTAAGGGAATGAGGTTAGTATCGACTCATGCATGAGAGTACTAAGTAATTTGTTATCTGTTTATGCACTTTTACATTACAGAGGCAAGCAAAGAAACTGAAAATGCGTCAAGGTTAAAAAAGGAAAAACGGGTTAGTGAACAGGATAATTTACCAGGAAATGATATACCCTCAAAACGTGCACCATCTCAGTTGTATGGAACTGGCGAATCAAATGAAACTAAAACTGCAGCAGATTCGACATTGGACAAGCTTGAAACCGAGAATGAGATTAAAACAAACGTTGGTGATAAAAAGCGGCAATCATTGGCAAGTGACTCTGAGGCAGATGATGCTTCATCCTCCATTTCCAGCTCAACATCCGAGGGTACATGTACTTCAGAATCCAATCCCAAAACTCCACCTCCACGACCTCCAAAACCTTCAAGACTCCCAGCGAGCCCAGTCACAACTGATTCGGAACTCAAGGGAGATTTCAAAACAAAAATCCTTGGAGCCTCTGCAAGTCCTTTGAGAGATCTGACAAAAAAACCAAAACCGCCAGGTCCTGAACAATTGGACTTCCGAGGACAACTGAAGAAGACTGGTTTGAGAGCTGATAAAGATCTGACAGCACAGGGGAGAAAGCAGCAACAAGAGGGAGACTTCCGTAGACAGCTTAAGACAACAGGTGTAGATACATCAAGAAATCTGTCAGCAGTGAGAAATGTGGGTAAGAAAAAGGGGGGAGTTGAACAGATTGATTTCAGAGGACATCTAAATAAAACAAAGAGTTCAGAAAGTGCTGTTGATAAAAAAGGGCCACCACGACCTCCTCCAACATATTTATCAAAGAAAGCCGAACCTGGAGCTTCATCCTATCAATCCCCTGCGAGAACCCAAACAAGAGAAGCCAGTGAAGATGTTAAGACAGCTGACGCAAAAGAGAGTCGAAAGATTTCTAGTGCAGACTTGTTGAACATGTTGCATAAACCTGTTGAGACATCTAAGGAAAGTTTTCTTGTGCAGCGTGGTATCAAAAAGGCTGAGACACCAAAATCTGCAGCCCAGAAATTTATTGTACCAGCAACTGATGAGAACTTTCAGGCTCGAATGGCACAGAGAAAGGAGAGATCAGATAAACTTATCCTATCTGTCAGAGATTCTCAAGCACAAAGGAGGACTTCTAGTGGCGATGAAACGAAAGATTTTCGAGCTGTTCTGAAAAAAGCTGCTATCCAAAAATCAAGAGCAATGCCGAAAGAAGCTGATCTGGAAACAGGGGAAGGACCTTCAACTGGCAGAGTCAAACAGTAAGTTTATTACAATATTTAAATTACATTTTTGTGTATATGTGACTTGTGTATTTATGTATTGTTGAGTTTGTGTAGTTGCTTCAGTTGTGCTCTGTTATTTCTGCTTGCTTCAGTCGACTAATCTTCACTGTAAAGTTCTCTCCTATTGATGTCTTTTTTCTCTCTTTTACCTAACGTCTACAGAACCTGTCTTCAAGTGTGTCTGGCATCAAGAACTTTCTTTGCTCACTCTGTATCTGATGAAGTCTGATTTCAATCGTTTTTGCTAAGAAAATATTACCAGAATGTACAAACTGTATTCTACGGAAGAAACAAGGACATGGAATCGCAGAACTGTAATCAGATTTGTAATAATTGACTGTGGTCAGAAACTTTTGTTACATAAGATCATCAGATTGTGCGTCAGTTTCATTTTATGTAAAAAATTTTTTGATTTTACAATTTGTATTTTACTCAACCACATGAAGTATAAAATAAGGAGATCTCAGAACATTGTAACTCCCAGTGAGAGACTTTAGAACCCTTTCATTTCCAATCATCAACTAATATTCCTTACTGTTTGGTAGAGTTAGTTCCTTTTATGTGTGGAGAATTTGTTTTAAATCAAGCCTCTGTCAAATATGTGATGAGTTTCTTTATTTCTTCTGGTGCTTTTTGTTTAAATTTCTTGTTGATGTATTGATCACTGTAATGAAAAATTGGATGTTGAGTACTTTTGAGATTGAAAGGGTTATAAATTCACATGAATTCAAATGTCAGATTTACCTTTTCAAATTGACAAAATTACATTGCAATTTCCAAGCAAGAGCCTTCCTTATCTCAATATTAAATTGTACTACTCTGTCCCAAGTGAACTATTATGTCTGGCAGATGATTTGGAGAATGTGTGTAACCATGTCATTTAAAACTGTTCATTTAAGAAGATTAAGTACTTTTGTAATTAAAACCCTTTTCAAAGCCATTTGCCAATATGTGATCTGGTTAGGACTGAAATAAACACTGGGATTATTGTGATGAACAATTAAAGAAATGATTTCTGGTCAGTTGTTACCTGCGGATAAGCATTAATAAACAAACAAAACACAAAACAGATGTGTTGTCTAGTTGCTTACAATTAAATAATTTAAGATAGTGGAAAGTGATACCAAAAAGAAAGAAAACTATTCCAAAAATGTCTTGTTTTTAACCAATTGCTCCTGATGTTCTCTTGGACAAAGTGACGTAAACTATTCCAAAAATTCTCATTACAAGCCAATCAGGGTAAAATAATTGTTTTGTAGGCTGACAACATATTACTAGTTCAAAACATCTGTGATAATGCAGAACACCTCCTGGCTTCCAAATTTCAGGATTAACCTCATCAAATTACTCACCACACTGCTTCATTGTAAAAAGTGTATCAAAAAAGTACTCCTTGATGCAAAATTTAAGAAAATCATCTGACAGAATTAGATACATGTAGCTTTAATTATTTGTGATCAGTGGTAATGACCCTTAAAGATGACCTTTAATTCAAGCCAGATTAAGATGTTTTGTGGAGCTGTTTTTAGTTTTCAGTTATTTTGATGATAACCAGATTATAGCAGGTTGTCTGTTCTTCCACCTGTAATCTTATATTCTTTTCTCCAAGCTGTTAACTAACATGCTTTACTGACAGCCTTAACCCACTAACTCTTTGCATTGTATTGTTGGCAGTGTAATTTGAAGTCAAAGTGTGTCCAGCAGCAGTTGTAGATGCTATCAAGTTAATGAAAAGAATGTGATAATATGGTGTTTATTGTATGTAGTATTTATGGTATTTTTTTAACACAATTATTGTCAGAGTTGTTTTTATTGAAAGTACATTTTATGATAATATCAGGACATAACTTCAACATGTGTGGTCCTTGTGACAAAGGCCACGTGTTTCTCTACAGATACAGATATTTCACTCACAAGTGTTATCTATTTCTTGAGTGTACAGCTGTACATGTGAAACCAAAACTGAGACCATTCAAAGGACTAACCTTGCCAAGATGATAATAAAGACAGTTAAACATTCAAATAAACATTGAACATTGCCCTCTCCATTTTTATGTAGAATTACACAATACTATAAATATTAAGGCACCCTCTGTATTAAGGCCTTCTCTGTATTACTCTCCCCTCTTTAAATAGGCTTTAAAAATAAGCCCTTCCCCCCCCCCTCCCTCCCAACTGAATTAATGAATGTACTCAAATGATTCTCTTGACCAAAGTTTTCACTTGGAAAATGCTCAAAAATGAATGACAAACAGAGAAAAGCAATTTGTACCTTTGATCAGATTCTTATTTCTCCAAACAATATTCTTGTGAAGTCAGTTATGCAGGTTATGGGAATACAGTAACTGATCAACGGCAAAAATTTTTATGTCACAGATAATGAGACTCTCTAGTAGTACGTGTAGTATGTTTTATTTTAGAATTAGCCAGTGACAAGGAATTTGTATTTAACTGCCAGAGTAATATTAACATTGGTTTGGAACATTTCAATCAGCATGCATAATTTGCTTGCTTCTTGTCTGAATGATGTAGTAATTGCTAATAATTTTTAACCAGAGACGGTGTAATGAGCATGTTTTTGCTCTCTTTCTGAATTACATGTAGTTCAGAAATCACAGACTGACCATAATTTGGGGAAGGAGAATGAGATGCTATTGATCAATGGATTTACAAAATTGTTAGAAAATGTCACATTTATCATTGAACACGGACTACATCATTCAGCATGAAGGATTTATGTTGCACACAAGCATGAGCTATCAACTTGCGTCTCATTGGATTGTATTGCAGTGTCGGATAGTCAGAGCAGAAAAATATTCTAATGAGAAATTATATTACTTTCGACACATTTTTGTGACAGACCATGAGATTTTCAAATGAAAGTTTCCTGCGAAAGGAATAAGCTTGTTTTCAATTGTACCATTAATTCAGTACAATTAATTGTTAGTAAAATTACTTACTTGTATGCCAAGCAGTAAAACCATCCCTTTAAATTCTTTGCATGGTTAATTTTTGTGCAACAGATGGGAATATAGCATGATCGTGAAAGATAATTTAATTTTAAAGGTTACAAGAGGGTTATGTTTTTGGTCTGATTTGCTTTCACTTAAAAAAATTCCCAACTTTTCTGGTAGGGTCAAAAGGTCTGAGATTGTTAATGATTATTGTTTTCTTAGGCAGTCCCATAGCAAAAAAAATCTGGGTATGTTGCCCAAATTCTATGATTTCATGGGATTATCAAATAAACAGTATTTTTTTTTTTATTTTATAGTAAGTAGGAGAAAAACATTTTACAAATTCCTTGTAAAATAGCTTTTGCTTTTTTTCAGCTAAAAATGTGAGGTCAACCTTCTTAAACCCCGCCCTGTCTCATTAATAAAATTATTGTATTAGATATAGGGCTTCGTTACTTAATCATTTTACTTTTATATTTTTCTAGCATTCTTTTTAAGAATCATGGACTTAGTTATATTGTTCCACCTCTGTGTTGTTTAGGAATGAAAGATTTTCCGTAGACATCCAGGACAAGAATGAACTTCAAAAGTTGAGAGCTCAGCTAATACAAGAAAAAGAAACAAAGGACAAGGCAGTTCCAGGAGGTAAAAGTGTGACAAAATCTGTCAAGTCAGAAGGAGATGGTACTAAAGAAGTCACGACCACAACAGAGAAGACTACCGAAGTTGAAGAGACAGATGCAGGTCCAGCTGAGATTACCAGAGAAGTTAAAAAGACAACTGAGGTTCACAAGGCCGGTGGAGCAACCATGACAGTGACTAGAACATCTCGGACTACGGAGATGCGACAAACAGGAGGAAGTAAAGGTTGGTCATGGTAGATAAATGAGGTTTTTTTCATTTGCTGATTAAAAGCATAGTAAACAGCTAACGGTAGTCAGGTTAAAATTCTATACTGTGGCCTAAGCAAGACTAAAGCTGCCATCAACTCTAGGTGATTGTGTTTAAAAGGAAATTAAAAATTATGAATATTGTTATATTTTCATTGCATTTTAGCCATCAGGAAATGCAAAATTTCACTTCTGGTTGGGTCAGAAACTGTGTGAGGTGGAGGCCTGGGACTAGTCAGTAGGTGATGTCAAAACAAGAATATAGATCAACATCATCTTTCAAACAAAACAAATACACTGTAGAAATGTTCTTGTTTTATAGAACAACATCTTCTGTACTAGATAAGTGTGAAAGGCTTTATATAGAGATTTGCTTTCAGGGGGAAGTTGTCATTTAAGGTTACAGTATACCTTCAGGGGTGTCTCGCGCGCAAGCGATGTAGCGCGTGCAGTTTAAGCTGTAGATACCTAAACCCCTATATCAAATTA